GATTATTCTTTTTGATTTTATAGCAGTTTTGAAATTGCCAAAATTGTATATATTTATGTTGTACAAAATTATATTTTGATAGATGTATGCTTTGTGGAATAATTTAATCAAGCTAATTAGCACATCCATCACCTCACATACTTACATTTTGGTAGTGAAAACAGTTTACTCCCTAAGCAATTTTCAAGTATACAGTACATTCTTATTAAATGTAATCACCATGGTGAAGCATAGATTTTCAGATCTTATTTCTCCTAAGTGATACATGCATTCTTCCTTCCACCATCTGGTAACCTTCATTGTATTTTCTGCTTCTAGGGATTAGACTTCTTTAGATTCCATATAGATGTGAGATCACCTGGCATTTGTCTTGCTGTGCCTGGTTTATTTCATTTAGCATTATGTCCTCCATGTTAATTCACGTTGTTGCAAATGTGACAGGATTTCCTTTTTTAACCATTTTTTAAAGAAGAAAATTCTACATATTAAAAACGTTCCTATAGCAAATCAGCATGCCTTGAATCCGGTTACAAATTTTAAATCCTAGGCATTTATATCTCTTTTCATCTTTTTCCTATTTCTTATACTTTGCAGATCTGGGAATTTTATATTTTCCACAGCAGAGTCTAATTTTATACTTTTCTAGTATTTATTAACCATATTAGACTTATAAGAAAAAGAAAGTCATCTTCTAAATCTTCAAATTCTGGTTGCTGATAGCTATTATCTATTCATTGGACTTTGTTGTACATTTAGAGAAGATTCCAACCAAAGATCCTGGCCATCAGGTTGAACTTTATGTTTACAATTATTAACTCTACTCATTAGATACCTTTAGCCTTTAAAAAATAAAATAGCAAAACCCCCTGAAGCCTCGCTTTTAATTTTATGTGATAATTCAGTGTCTTCACACAAAATGATTTTTAAGTTCCTATTGGTGGAGTTTTATGACAGAGTTTTCTGTTGTTGTGATATATAGAGTTGACATGTTAACATTATTAAACATGCATGGACTCTTCTTATTTCTGTATTAGATAGGACTAGGTAACAACTTTATCTACCAGGAAATGAGGGCCTATTTCTACCTAGTTAGCACTCTACTTCTAGCTTCTGCTAATTGATCAAATCCGAAATGCACAATTGTTCTTTTTTATATTGTGAATAAGATCAAAAATATGAATTAGTTCCTGAACTCCTTTTTTACCTGATTATTATCTGTGACTGTTAGTGCTGATTAGTCCTTTCTGTTCCTGGTACAGGAATACTTTTGGTGCTACTGATTTATTTACAAATCTCTATATTTCTTATACAGACTGTAAGAAATATATGTCTACATTTTAGAAACACATGTGTAATTAGAAAAAATACCCATTTATTATCTATTTATTAAAAACTATGGAAACTAAGGATATTCTTTCCTATCTTTTGTATTACTAGTGCTTTTTTATATCTTTTACATTAAGTTTTTCTCTTCTAGTGTTATGAACTTATAACCTTTGACAGACACAAGTTGTTTTATTTTGTAACATTCACTTTTTTTATGCTCATACTGTCAACATTTAGCTGTGGATTTTCCATTTAGGTTGCTTTTCTTGGCCAGCCTTTTGAAAGAAACTGACTTTTTCTCTAGCAACAAAGACATGTTCCAGCATGCCTTGTGTTTCCTTCCTCCCTCCTCCCCCATATCTCTTCTTTTTCTTCCTTTCTTCCTTATAATAGTTAAGGAATCCTGGTTCTTTCTTGTTAGGGGGTATCAGACAACAAGCATCCAGATGCTAGAGATATTCAATAGCTGACTGAAGACAAAAGTAATGCTGCTGCTGTTTGTCTTTTTTAGGAAGAGATCTGGAAAACCAAATATTTTAGGTTTATGAGTTCACACTGACTTTTTTGTGTAACATTTCACCTTGCTATATCCATTCATCTTTATTATGAGGTTTCTCCAGCTTCAAAGACTTTGTAGAAGAGCAACATTGTTGCTCTGTAAACATAATATCAAGGCAAGGCAATTTAGAACAAATAGATTTAAGAAGCAACTCTTCTAGACCAGTGATGGAGCCCTACTGGAACAAATGTCAAGCATCACCTGTAATATTAGAGTAAAATAAGAACAATGCACTGTGTTTTCCAAATTTAATTGATCCTTTTATTAACTTTACTTTCCTATATGAAATTTTGGAATACCAATGTCAGAGTTTCAAGCATTTCCCTATTAAAAGTAATTTAAAAATTATTTTCAAATTGTGGGTGGATGTGTTAATTTTGAAAATTCAAAAGGGCCTGAACAAACCTCCTTGAAAAGATAATGTTTGCTTCTGGATCTCAGGAATTTCTGGAACCAGGAACCAGGGGTCTTTCTGCCATGATGATTCTATTTTTTAAGTACATTTAGGCTGGTCTTGGCCACACAATGAAATCCATGGATCCTCTGTTGGCGGCACTTTGCATCTCGCAGTATTGATCACCAGTCATATTTCTTGTTTTTGGAACATGGCTCTGGTCAGGATGTTGGTACCCATCTTGGATCATTCACCAAGAATAGGGAGTTTGGTTCATAAAAGAACCTGGCAGGTAGGTGAATTGCAGTGGTTCCAATTAAAGGAAGAATGTGAAAACCATGGAATAGAAGCACATAAAATGTAAAATGCCTTTACTTGACATAATAAAAAAAAAGTGACCTCAATATACCTAGTATTCATTTATTCCCTTTGTTCCTTCCCTCCTTGCTTTCTCAATGTTGTTGGTTGTATTGGTTTCCAAGGGCTTCTATAACAAAATACTAAGGGGCTTGAAGGACAGAAATTTATCTTCCAACAGTCCTGAAGGCTGTAGGTTCAAGGTCAAATTGTTGGCAGATTTGGTTTCTCTGAAAATTTTTCTTTTTGGTTTACAAATGGCCTGTCTTCTATCTATGTCCTCACAATATTGTCCTTCTGTCCTAAATTATTCTTCTTACAAAAATACTAATCACATTGGATTAGAATCCATGTATATGACCTCTTTTAACTTTAACTCCCTCCTTAAGAGCCTCCTCCCCAAATATAGTCACATTTTAAGGTAGTTGGGATTAGGATTGAATATGAATTTTGAAGGTTCATAATTCAGTCCAATGAATTGAAAGTCCAAGTTTTAAATTATTTAGCCTGATTTAAATTTGAGTAAATTACTACTGTTTCACAGTAAAGTGTCTCTTTTGTTTAACTAATATATTCTTGACTATTAGATTAATAGTCTTTCATTTGGATAGTACTTCATAGACATTGATGAGGGTGTCTTCACAAAATCACCCTTTTAAACATTCCTTTTCCACATTTAACTCATGATGTTTTTTGTTTTTTTTTTGTACCTGGATTGAACCCAGAGTCAATTAACCTCTGAGTCACATTCCAGTCCTTTTATCTTTTTTTTTTTTTTGTATTTTATTTAGAGACAGGGTCTGGCTGTGTTGCTTAGGGCCTCACTAAATTGCTGAGACTGGCTTTGAACTCACAATCCTGCAGAGTTGCTGGAATTACAGGCATGCACCATTGAGCCCAGCACTGTTGTTTTAATCTCCTATTTTGCTCTTTTTAGTGTGGCAGCTTATTTTTTGTTGCCAACACCATCCTTTGTTGTATATAGATGAGCTACTTGGGCTTTCTTGGGCTACTGAGCTTCCAATAAACAGTTGATTTTATTTATAGTTTAAAGTATTACTTATCTTTGTTAGGAAAAAGAAGCACTTAGATTTGAGAATATGTATCACCTTTCAAACCATTTTGCTATATTCATGGATCACACATGTTTCTAAAGTTTAATAATGTTTAATTCTATTTGTTAAAGTGATAGTGATTTATTTAAAAGTCCCAGTGTCCTTAGTTTAATTCCAAGAATTAAAGTGTTCAGTATCCATTTGACAATATCATTAGCCTTTCCTTAATGAATATTTACTTCTTTCAACGTAAATTATGGTAACATTCCCATCAATTGAGAAAGTAATCTGACATAGGCTATTTCTCTTGATGTTGTACTTTTTGTACTTTTGTTATTTCATTCTTAGTCCACAAATGTAAGTTCTTATATTTCTTAATACATTCATCTATGTACATACACAAATATGTAAATCAGGATTTTGTTCCTCCCTCAAGAATTCCTTCTTGTATGCATCTCCAACCCCCCTCAGAACTTCTCAACAGTGTATACCCATCCAGTTTATTTTGTTATATGTCTTGAAAAAAATAGGAATTACATCTCATCTTTATTGTTTTATTTTATAATGAATATTGATAATTATCTTTTAGTCTAATTTTTTAATTTAATTTAATGCAAATGATTTGGATATGTTAACTGGATCCCTACTTCCAAATATTGTCTAAATTAGTACTTCACAGTTGGTAGTCTATAAAACATTTGTTTAAAAGCAATATATATATAAAATATATGTATTATATATATATTATATATTTAATTTTTGATCAGCAAAGTCTTTTTCATATCTCTGGAGTTTGTTTAAAACTCCCTACTCTTGGTATATCTAATATTGTCAGTATATTTAATATGTAGAAATATTTTCCTATATTCTGATATGTTTGTCACCTGTTCATATATATTTTTATTGCATTATAATTTGAATGATATCAATTTTAACAGATATATATCAGTTAAAAAACATAACTGGAGGGGTTGGGGCTGCAGCTTAGTGATAAAGCATTTGCCTCGCATGTGTGAGGCACGAGGTTTAATCCTCAGCACCACATAAAAATAAAGATACTGTGTGTTCATCTACAACTAAAAAAATAAGAATAAAATAAATGGAAAATTGGTAATTTTTAAAATGATTTTTAATTTTTTATTGGACTGATAATTTTAGAGTCTCTAAGATTTAAATATCTTTTGAGATGCAGTGGGTACTTCTCATTTCTGAGATTTTGAGTTCTTACCGCTTGTGGCTTCTGCATGTACATACTTCCTCCATTTCTCAGCACATCACTTTGTAATTATTGGTTTTCTTTTTCTTTTAGGATGTTTTAAATAACCTGGGATCCTGTGAACTAGATGAAGATGATCTAATGCTTGATTTAGAATTTTTAGAGGAACAGAATCTTCATCCTTCAGGTAAGTGTTGAATAAATACATAATATAACTGATATTTGTCATTTAGCTTACACTGATAGGCTAAATATTATTGAGACTGCATTCAGTCTTTTAAATCTACCTTTATATTTTATATGCAAGGGAACTGTAAAATGTACTATGGGGTTATAATTTTTGAAGTTCATTATGGAAACCTTGATCTGGTTGGAAGAAATTTATAAAATAGGAAAACAACTATAAAATAAAATTTTTGTCAAAGAAAAGTATTCCAACTGAATACTGAAAAATGTAAAAAGTTAACATTTTCTACTTTAGGGCAAAAATATTAACTACAATCCCACTTTTCGTTTATTTTATGTATCTAAATGTAAGTTTTGTGGATCTAAATTTACTATTCCAAATTTTAGCCACTGTTTTTCCCCCATAACTACACAGATTAATGCTGATGCAGTAATATTTGGCTCAAAATTAATAATTCCAAATAGTGTCCACAAACACATACTCATAAACACATAAACACACATAGGGTTGCAGTATATGAGTAATAAATCCATGTTGAATGAATTAAAGGGACCACTACATTCATAAAAAAGTCAAATTTATATTAAAGCATAAAATATCATGTTTTCTATTTCCAAATAACTCCATGTAGCTTATAAGAATTCATTATTCAAATTTAGATATTTGACAACAAAGGTAAACTTTTATATTCTATTTTTTATTTCTGATAATACCTTAAATATAGTCAATTTTAAAGTTCATGTGAAATATTCTTAAATACGAGCTTTAAATTTTTGGATTCTACTGAATAAATTTAAGAAAAATCAAACTCTTGGATCATAACATCCTTATTTTTATCTAATGGGTATTAGACGTAATCTCTACAGTAGTTTCTAACTATAACATTATGATGAACTTCTGTTTATGCCATGTCTTTATGCCACAGATGATAATCATATTAATGATTTCCAAAAGATGTTAATAGTGATACTTACATTTTCTTACACTGTATGTTAGGCTAAAATCTGAAATGAAGTTGTTTGTAAATTTTTTTGTTGAAAATATTTTAAGATACAAATTTTTCACAATATTATTCTTGCAGTTGATTTGATAGATAAGCTTTTATATATGTAGATCTTTCTCACTTTTACCTAGATAGCTTCTAAAATTTGTGATTCATATGTATTTGTCTGAAGAATTGTACATTTAAAAAAATATTTAGTTTGCATTTACCTTTAGATTCAACTATGCAGTTTCTATATTTGTGATCCTATGATACTGAGAAAATACAGAATATGTGCTTATGCATTAAAATACTTGTAATAGCAAATATTAGGACATCTCAAATTTTCATCAATAGAACACTTACTAAATATACAATATTATACTTAACAGTCATTAAAAAGAATGAGAGGTGTCCATCCTGCTATTGCATTATAAGAATGATTCTTCATGTTGAGCTTTATGATGATAGAATAAATTGTCAATGTGTATATTATTCAGTCCTCTAAAGTGTAATAAGTAGATATTTTCCCTTAAGTGTAATAAGTAGATATTTTCTTCCTCTTGGTGTTATGCTGAATCTTCATTCCCAATCCCATAACTACTAAAGTCTCCAAGAAAATGAGTGAGGATTTTTCTGACAATATGACAACAGATCAGAAACAAATCTCATAATTTTAAAGGTATTTAATTTTTTTTTTTGTAAAGAAGAAGAATGTAACTGAATTTTGCTAATTTGGGATTTTTAGTCCTTTATTTTTTCTGAAATTGGTAATTGAACCAATGGACATCTTACCACTGAGCTACATCTCCAGCCCTTTTTATTTATTTTTTTATTTTGAGATGTGGTCTTGCTGAGTTGCTTGGAACCTCACTAATTTCCTGAGGTTGACCTCAAACTTGGGATCCTTTTGCATCAGGCTCTCTAGTCACAGGCATGTACTGTCATGCCCAGTTAATTTGGGATTTAAAAAAAAATTAGATGGAACCGTGATTTTTAGGAAGTAATGGGATGAGTGGAGAGAAATTGTTAAATGTCAGAAGATTGTCAATAGGTAACCAAGGAATTCTATAGGATAAATAATGTGATTTATTTGACAGATAACTGACCTGATGATAGGGGAGGGAAGACAGCCATATATTTAAAAAAGCTAAATTCTGTGGGACTTCCTTGTTGGTATACTCATTTTAAAATATATTCAAAGAATATATTTTAATCTGACTTATAAATTACACATATATACATGTATTAGAACAGCATAGGGTGCTCTATAAATATGTATGATTTTTATGTTTTTATGTATCACTTAAGTTACAATAGTAAAAAAAAATTTTTAAAATTCAATGAGTTAATCAGAACCTTTAGATTTGAGTGAGTTATACGATTATATTTTATTTTCTTAATTTATACAGTAAGTTATAGTTTATTTGTTGTAGTGATATTTTGGTTAGGTTTATTAAGGAAAACTTGAGAGTTGTAGGTAGTTGAAACAATATGGTATCTGAGATTTGCTTTACCAACAAGTGTGGGCAAAAGAATAGATGAAACTAAGTTAACAAATTGTTGAAAACTATCAGAATTGGGTAATGGTGCATGGAAGTAGGAGGAACTCATGGAGTTAGAGTTTCATGAAATAAAATATTCTATTTTGTGTGTTTTTGAAGATTTTCATAAACAATTAAAATAATTGAAAAAAAGTACCAATAATATAACAATTTCAGTTATATTTGGTTGCCAGTCATAATGAAGCCCAAAGAATGATTTACAAATCTGAAGTCTTAACTAAATGTATGTGCTTTGGGACAAAACTTAACCTCTTTAAATTTTAAATCTTCTTTACAAACTAATAATAATGCTATGTAGTTTGTTCATGTACTTTAAAGAATAAAAGTAGCATAAGAAATTCTGTTAATTTCCTGAGTCAATTTCAAGGTATGGGTTGCTTGTTTGAAAGCTTAATAGAATGTCTAATGTTAACCAATGAATCCTGTGAAATTAACTGGGTAAAATGAAATCCTTGGACAACTGAATAAGATGACTTTTCTGCAAATGAATGTTATTAAAAATATGGTAAAATATCAAACAATGCATATCCTAAATATGAATTTAGGTTTTTGTTTTGGAATACTTAATCTTTCAATATCTGTTACACAGTGAGCTAGAATATGATTGTATTTCTATATAGGCTTTTCCCACTATTACCTTCATAGTGGAAGATGCTGATGGTAAATACACATTTTGATAATATGCCAGTGAAGCATCATAATTGATCAAATGAGTTAAAAGGAAAGATGGAACAAATTAAAAAAAAAAAAAAGTCTCTCTATTCTTACCTTGGCTCCCTTTACTGCCAGGGGTAGATTGTATATAACTATGAGCATTCAGTAGTTTGTGATCCAAATGGTTGAGAATTCATTGGTGGTAATTAAGGGATGGGGGTAAGCGAAATCGGGAGGTGTTGATCCAAGGACACAAACATTCATTTATTAAATTGACAAGTTCTGGGCATCTAACATACACTATGGGTGATGGTGGGTTTGTTAATTAATTTGATTGTTACAATCATTGCATACTATGTATGTATATAATTCTTTTGTATATTCTCAACGTATTCAATCTTTGTCATTTAAGTATTTTAAAATTTAAAAAAATAAAAATAAGCTGATAGAGTGAACAAATTGTGCTATATCTATATGAGAATATAATGATATAACTTGCACAGGAAAAAAAAAAGAAGTTTTGACACATACGACAACATGGACAAACTGCAAAATAATTTCGCTACATGAACAGAGCCAGATGAAAAGAGTAAATTCTGTGAGATTCCTTTTGTAGAAAAATTTAAAAATGAAAACAAAACTCCAGTGACAGAAAGCAAAGCAGTGGTTGCTAGGATTATGAAAGAGGGCATGAAGATGCTACAAACAGACAACATAATGAGGAAAAGTGAGAGGATTGACTTTGTTGATTATCTTGATTCTGTATACTTGTGTCAAAATTTATTAAATGGTGTGCCTTAAATATATATAGTGTATTTGCATAGCCATTAAATCTTGATAAGCATGTTTAGAAAAAAGGAAAAAAAATAAGTCAATGGGAAGGGAAATTGAATGCCTGTAATGAGCCAGGCTCTTTTCCTAGATGATTTCAAGTAAATCCCATAACTCTTAGGGAAAATGGTACTTCCAATATCCATTCCAAATAAACAAACTGAAAGTTAATATCAAAAGACTGGAGGCACTTTGTAGTCTGATATATCCAAATTAAAATTTCAGCTACACCATGGTGACCTTGGAAGGTGATCTTTCCAAGTGTCTTTTTCCTCATTTGTAAAATGGCAAGGATTACTTATCTGTCTCAAATCATCCTAACTGAAATTGTGACACAGACACATTTACATGCAAAGTGACTTTCCCAGTTACTTAGAATACAGTAGGAACTCACCATGAGTTGGCTATGTCCCATGAAATTTTTGACAGTTTTAATACCTTGTTAAAGAGTGTCTTGCCATTAGTTAAATGGTCCTTAGTTTCTTAATACTTAATCATTATTATAGATTATTTAAAATATATTTTGAGTTAGATTTCACTGTGTAAATTCTGTCTATCATTTTAAATGGTGATTTACCAGTATTAAATAATCAAAAATTAATTAAGATACTTTGCTTATAATAGGTAGTACATTTCTTTTTTTGTTAAAATCCATGCAATTCTAAAAGTGCAAAACTATATTTTCAAATATTCAAATTACTATTGAATATTTGAATATTTGAAATAATAATATCCCTGAGAAAGAATAAGTTTTTGTTTTAAATACCTTAAAAAGTTACTACCCCAAATCATTATTTTCAAAGGGAAACTGAAGTGTTTCTATGCATTACATTTGATCTTTACCATTTGCAGATGATTTACTTATTTGAAAATATATATCATTATTTAGTGTTCTTTGGGGAAAAGAATGTAATGGTCATTTGGATGATAGAGTGAGGAAATCTTACATTGTGTTTTTGTTGTTTATT